AAAATTCTTATATCTGTCAGCTTCATTATACTACCAAATCGTAGAAATTGGTGGACACTAAACAAGTATACAGTACAACCCTCAGTAGCTGAACTCAATCATGTGCTTGTTTTCTTGATGGTATGTTACACAGGTAACATGCAAAAGTGTCTGGCACAAGCTTACCGGTCATTGCGAAAGATCTTTGGCAGATACCTTCTGGGAAACCACATGGCCAAAGCACACATCAGAACCCAAAGGATGGCAAGTTCATCAAGCATCTGACCCAGGAAGCTAAGGGTTGCATGGAAGTAGACAGATCCAATTCCTAGAATAAATTACAACCAACAAAAAAGTTACCACAGAACAGAGACACAAGGTTAATACAGTGCTTCAGGATAGCCCTTCTCCAGAGGCTAGAAAGAGGGTTTCAAGTTGGACTCGGACATCAGCACATCACAACAGTAAGAATTCCTGCTAAGCATTCTCAGTCTTAATACTCTGAGCCTTCCTGAGAACAGGCAATAAATAAAAGTCAACATTATCTCACTGTTAAGAATTCCCAAACTGCCTGGGAGAGGAAATGGAAATTACACAAGTATTTCACAGAACAATGAGGGACCAGCCATCTAAACATTTTTTTTCACTGTCAGTCCCCTGGAACCACATCTCATCAGAGTTCAATTGTTCCACATGACTTTCTTCAGAGGTTTTCAAACAACTGCACTGGCACACCACCAACGGCCCACAGATGCAGTCTGAGTGCAGTAGTGTGATAGTTACAGGCAGCTTTGTTATCTAGGGGCATTCAAAAGAGTCCTTCTTTGGTGTCAGGGGAGCAAAGACGTCAGAGTGACTTTGATTTACAAAACATTATGTTCAAAGGGGACAGGAAATGTGCAAAACCCCACTTCCGCCCTTTGAGTCCATTCCCACATGAATCCACTTACCCACTACAACTAAGAGAGTCCATATTAAGTAGATGCCACTGTTGAAGCACGTCGCATACTGACGAAACAAGCACATGCAGATGGGTGGTAAAATGAAAAACAAGATGTTGCTGATCTGGAAGGAAGAGAATGGGAAATGGAAATGATGACTATTAAGTAAAAAGCAGCTTGTTCCAAGTGTGCCCTTTGCAAACTGGGACGAAGGTGGCCATACATCTTGTTCAAGCTCTGGCCTTTTCAGAATTGCAGATACACAGTGAGGAAAACTTAAAACATCTTTAATGACCATTTAAGGGCTCCATGCTGCTCTTTTGATCATAGGAGCAACTATAAACAGTATCATCAGGGGTGGGGGTGGGGCTCAGTGGCAGAGGTCAAGGCCAGACTCAGTTATAGAAGAAACTGAAGGTGAGCCAAGATCACATGAGACTTGGAAAAAAGAGGTAAGAAAGAATTTTATTTTATCTTGCAGATTGTATTTGTATGTAAACCTACTATGTCTCCAGGAGGCATTCAACTTAAAACAAATTTTAATAATGTTTTATCTAATGTAATATATTGAAAATATTATTGCTTGAGGCTGGACATGGTGGTACACACCTTTAATCCTGGCACTCCAGAGGCAGAGGCAGGAGGATCTCTGTGAGCCTGGTCTACACAGCAAGTTCTAGGCCAGCTGGGCTACAGGGTGACCCTGACTCAAAAGAAAGAAAAGAAAAGAAAATATTGTTGCTTGAATATGTAAACCACTATTAAAGTATCGTTAGCCTAGCAAGATACCATATGCCTATATCCCAGTTCTTGGAAAGCTGAGGCTGGAGGGTTGTTGAGTTTGATAAGTTGAATTTAAGGCAACTCAAACAGTAAATCAGTAACTAAATAAAAATAAAATAGTATTAATAAAAAATGGTGTTGATGAAATATTATACATTCTTTCATTCGTACCAAGGCTATGAGTAGTATAAATTTCCTACATACAGCAAGTCTCAGTTTGGGACAGCCACATGTCCTGTGCTTAGAAGCATGTATGATCAGAGACAGCCCTGTAAAGCATCTCTCCAGCCTTTAATCTCAGCACTCAGGAGGCAGAAACAGGCAGATCTCTGTGAGTTCAAGGCCAGCCTCGTCTATATAGTGAGTTCCAGACCAGCTGGAGCTATAGGGAGACCCTGTCTCAAAAAAACAAAAAAGTTAAAAAGAAAAGAACAGGCCGCAGTGTCTATGAAGCAGAGCTCTTCCCCTACGACAGATCTGGGGCTCCTCCATTATAGACTTCCAGCCTCTGGAACTGTGAGAAATTTCTCATATTATAAATGATGTGGCTTAAACAGATTTGGATATTGGGTGATTTGGTAATTCTATGTTCAATGGCAGGGTTTTGAGAATTTTCGGTTTTGTTTTAGATTCCCACCAAGATTGTACAAGGGTTCCAGTTCTTGCCAGCAGTTATTATACTCTGCTTGAGATTCAGCTTTGCAAGTATCATCTCTTGCTGTGAAGCAAGGGGCTTCTAATCCAAGCCCATGCACAGAATGTGAAGAAAACAGCCAAGTCTAATGGGCAGGGTCCCTGGAGACAAGGTGGGAGGTGTCTACAACAAAAAAAAATACTTTTAAAAATAAAGAGAACAGAGCTTGGAGGCTCAGCCTGTAATCCCAATTACATGGGAAGGGAGGCAGGCAGATCTCAAGTTCCAGGTCTGACTAGATTACAAAGTGAGTTTAAGGTCACCCTGGGCAAGTTGGTAAGACCTTGTCTGACTATAAAAAAGTCAAAAGAGCCAGGCATGGTGGCACACGCCTTTAATCCCAGCACTCGGGAGGCAGAGGCAGGCGGATCTCTGAGTTCAAGTCCAGCCTGGTCTACATAGCGAGTTCCAGGACAGCTGGGGCTACAGGGAGACCCTGTCTCAAAAAAGACCAAAAAAATAAAAAAAGAATCAAATGAGGGGATTGGTAAAATGGTTCAGTAAGAAAGGGGGCTTGCTGCCAAATTTGACAACCTGAGTTTGATCCTCACAACCCACGTGGTAGAAGGAGAGAACCAACTCCTCCAAGTTGTATGATCTCCACATGCATGTGATGCCATGATGCCATGTGCCTGAATGCACACAAATAAAGAGGGCTGGGGCCAGGTGTTGTGGCCCATCCCTTAATCCCAGCACTCAGGAAACAGAGGCAGGCAGATCTCTGTGAGTTTGAGGTCAGTCTGGTTCTAGGCTAGCCAGGGCCACAGTCCAAGATGAGTAAAGATAGAAACTCAAAGGCATTGGCAGAAGGCTTCCAGAAGAAAGGTGTAGCCATCTGTATTGGAAAACACAGAAAGGTCGCTTAGAGGACAGCTCAAAGGAAACCTGGGTTGAACTCAGGTGGAGAGAGTAGGACAGGAGGACTTTCCCCCAGACCTAACAAATCACACTGGTACATAGCACAATAAAATGCTTCAGGGGAGGCTGGCAGATGGCTTAGTCAGGAAAGTGCCTGCCACACAGCATGACAACCTAAGTTTGGATCCCCAGCACCCCAACACCCACGTAAAAAGCTGGGCTTGATGCTTTAATCCAAATCCTGGGAAGGTAGAAACTGGAGGATCCTGGGCTTGCTCACCAGCTGGTCTAGCCAAATTGGTGAGCTCTAGGTTCAGTAAGAAATATATCTGAAAAATAAAATGGGAGCTGGAGAGACCACTCAGCAGTTAAAGCAGCGGCTGCTCTTGCAGAGGACCCAGGTTTGGTTTCTAGCACCCACATGGTGGCTAACAACCATCCACAACTCCAGTTTCAGGGGATCTGACATCCTGTCCTGGCCTCAGCCACTGACAACATGGGTGCACTTACATACATGCAGGCAAAACACTCATACATATAAAAATAAAAATAAATGTTTAATAAAGTGGAGAGGGATTGAGGAAGACAGCCAGCTCTGATCTCTGGCCTCTGCACTCAAGTGCACGTGCACACATAGACACACACACACACACACGCATGCGCGCACGCACACGCACACATACAGACACACACACACACACACACACACACAGAGGAAATGTTTCAGTAAATGGAAGTCAGGGGCCAATCCCTTGGGAATAATAGTTTTTAGAAAGGGAAGAGTGGGGAAAAAATAGAATGAAAAAAGAATAATAAAATAATAGGAGAATAAAATCTTTATGATACTGATGACCTTGAGTGAGAGTATGAAAAACTTGTCTTTGATGTCCCAGGCTTGGAAATAGAATCAATTCTCATGCATTAGAAAGTGGGGATGCAGCTCAGTGGTATGGCACTTGACTAGCACCCATGAGGCTCTGGGTACTAAAAAAAAAAAAAAAAAGAAGTAGGATAAGGAGGAATGGGGCAAGGATACACAGATCACAACCTTTTAACTTCCAGTGGAATCATCGAAAGAATAAGATATCCTTCAGGGTTAAACTGAAAGGTCTTCAAAACCATCCCTTGTTTTATAAGAGGAAATGAGGACCCAGAAAGGTTCCAAGTCCAGCCAAATTCCAAAGCCAGCTGGCTCTTCCCACCACTCCACCCAAGTTTCACCTCCAACTCTCCCATTCACATCTTAATTCCCTGACTTATTTCCTTCATTGGTATCTAAGAACTATGAATGATATCACGCTGTACACATATAACCCATTCCATGATTAAACTTGAGTTTCACAGCATAGAGCAAAGAAAAGGAAATGAAGAGAGAGACCGTGAAGGGAGCAAAGAGAGAAAGGGAACAGGAACCTGGAGTTGTGATGGCATCAGGGGCTTGATCAGTCTGCCTCATGTTCAAGAAAAAGCTCTCCTGAGAAAGGGAAGAGTTAAGACCTCCTTTCTACCTCTTCCCCAGAGGTGAATCCTGTTCTAGATGCAAAGTCCTCAAGTCACTTTGCATTTATGTAAATACAAACAGATATACCCCATACTGCAACATTAGCATCCTGAAAGCCTTTCCATTCTAGTGAGTATGGACTTAGTTATCCTGCTGTAAGTGCTGCAGAGAGCAGGAGTTTCTCAGGGGGAAGAACAACTTAAAGTTCTCCTTACAATACTGGGAAATATAATACACTTGGGGGTGTTGCTTATTTGTTTGAAACAGAGTCTTATTTAGCACAGGCTGGCCTTGAACTCACTATCTCCTGCCTCCATCTATCAAGTACTAGGGTTACGGGTGTGCAACAAGCCCTGCTCTATACTGCGTCTTGACTTTTTCCCTAGTGAATCTTTGTTGCCTCAGGTTTATCAGTCTGCCTTGCTCCAGCCAAATACAAATGTATACTGACAAGCTGTCCACTAAATGGCAATATACTCTTATATTCCCACAGTCAGTGGACACTCTGGCACATAAATGTATTTATATAGTATTCAGAAATGCATGAGTTCGTTTCCTGTACCTAGAGTAAAATTATTATAGTTCAAACGTTATTTTTATTATTTTACTTTTTTAGGTTTTGAGACAGTGTCTCACATTGTAGCCCAAGCTGGCCTAGAACTCACTCTATAGCCTAGGCTGGCCTCAAATCATGACAATCCTCCTGCCATAGACTCTCAAGTGCTGGGATTAAATGCATGGGCCACCTTGGCCAGCCTTAACATTATTTTTAAATGCACATAAAAAGCACATTTAGAAGCACTATTGTGATACACGTTTGCACTTCTATAGAGCCCATCCTCCAAGCCTTGCTGACCACCACTGTTCCTTCTACAGACATCAATATATGGAAAGGAAAAGCCCAAATTAGAAGGAGATCTTCCTCAAAACAAAAAGAGGAAAGAATAAAAAAACAGAAAAGCAGATAAATTATAGTTAAAAGACAGACTCTGTGGCTCCATCTCTACTGAGAAGGTTGTAGAATAGTTCAACCTTCGGGTGCTTATTTAGAATGTATTGTGAATTATCCCTTGAAGAATTGGTTTGCTACAAGTCTGCAGACCTTTTTTTTTTTTTTGAATTAAGAGAAAAATCACAATTCTAAACTGTATTGTTTCCTTTAGAAGTGCCTTATTCTATGAATTCCTAAATAGCATTTCTTCCCAAAGAACACACTGCAATCTCCTTCTGTTGTGTGTGAGTGAGCCTTTCCCAGAGAAAGAGTGAGTACAGGCCAAACCACAGTGAGTTCAGGAGCTTTCACCCTGGATGAGTGGGTTGTCTGCATTCTAACTGTATGACAGTCCCTAGCTCTCTGCATTGCACTGTTCTTTTCCTGCCTTTGGGATGGCCAGCAATGCCCCATGTGCCTGGGAACCAGGGCTTTTCCCAGGACAAACAACTTCCAGCTTTAATTAATTAATTAATTAATTAATTGCCTTTTTGAGACAAGTTCTCCCTGTAGCCCCAGCTGGCCTGGAACTTACTATGTAGACGAGGCTAGCCTCGAACTCACAAAGATCCACCTGCCTCTGCCTCCCAAGTGCTGGGATTAAAGGCATACCCCACGCCAGCTCAGACTTCCAGCTTTAAATACAGGAAAATCAGGGGCTGGAGAGATGTTCAGGGGTTAAGAGCACCAGATGCTCTTGCAGAAGATCTGGGTTCCAATCCGGGCACCCACATGGACATTACCAACCATCTGTAACTCCAGTTCCAGAGGATCCAGTGCCCTCTTCTGGCCTCTGCAGGCATTGCATGACACAGTTGCACATGAAGGCATAACACTCAAATAAAATAAAATAAATCAGGAAAACTGTCCTGGCAAGACGTTTGCTGCCAAATCTGAGGACCTGAGTTCACACCACAGAACAAAGGAGAGAATCGACTCCTGCAGGTTGTCCTCTGACTTCCATATGTACATGACATGCAAATACCCCCAAATATACACACACACAAATTAATTAAACAAATCTTTTTAAATGTTCTTAATCAAAAAAATTTCAAACGGGCTGGAGAGATGGCTCAGCAGTTAAGAGCACTGGCTACTCTTGCAGAGGACCCAGATTCGATTCCCAGCACCCACATGGTGGCTAACAACCATCTGTAACTCCAGTTCCAAGAGATCCAATGCCCTCTTCTGACCTCCGTGGGCATTGCACGACATGGGTGCATTTACATACATGCAGGCAATACACTCATATACATAAAATAAAAATAATAAAAAAAAAACTAAACCAAACAACCCATAAAATATAAAAAAAAAAAAAAAGGAGCTCAATCCAGTCAAAGCTATATGTTAAAGAAATAGCATCCTGGGTGAGTAAATGGAAATGATGAGTTATTGGAAGAGATGCTCCAGCTTATCTGAAGCAAAGAATAACAAGGACTGAGGCAACAGCCAAACAGTGGAAGGAAATCAGCAGACACTCCCTGGTGAGCTATTTAGCAATAAGGACCAGCATTTACAGTCAACATTTTCAGGCCAGGTATTGCTATTCACCTATAATCCCAGCACTTGGGAAGCAGAGGCAATAGGACCAGGAATTCAAGGCCATCCTCAGCTACAGAGGGAGTTTGAAGTCAGTCTGGGTTACATGAGACCTTATCTCAAATATATATGTATATGTGTGTGTGTGTGTGTGTGTGTGTGTGTGTGTGTGTGTAGAAAATAAGTTGGGCATGGTGGTGCACACCTGTAGTCCCAGCACTTGGGAGGCAGAGGCAGGCAGATCTCTGTGAGTTCAAGGCCAGCCTGGTCTACCTAGTGAGTTCCAGGACAGCTGGGGCTACAGGGAGACCCTGCTTCAAAAAGACAAAAAAAAAAAAAAAGTAAATAAAGTGAACATGCTCAGCTAGGCACAGTGGCACATGCTTACAATCCCAGCATTTGGGAGGCTGAGGCTGAAGGACTGCTGGAAGTTCTAGGCTAGCCTAGTCAACATACCGAGTTCCAGGCCAGTCAGGACTATGTAATGAAACCAAGTTCTAACTCTATCTCTGCCATTTTCTTGACCTTCAACAAGTGATATAAACTAAACAGGCTATGATTTTTCTCCTTAGTCTAGTGAATAAATGGCACTCACTGTCTAGGGTGGTCACAGAGTACCCAGTGGAGTTTCAACATACAGCAAATCACTAACAGTAGCTGGTAATAACTGAAGTTAAAGTAGTGAGTACAACCTCCTAAAACTCAAAGATTCCTTCTGCAGTTTTCTCCTGATTCAACTGTCAATTCCTTTAACTGTTTCTCAAAACAGTTAAAGTTGGTAATGATTTCTAGTTTCTTATGAAATACATAATGAAGCTAGCACACCCCTACAATCCCAGCATTCTGGAGGCTGAGGCAGAAGGATCTCGAAGAGTTCAAGGCCAACATGGGCTACATAGTGAGTTCAAGACTCAGCCTGGGCTATACAGACTGTGTCTTAAAACAAAACAAATGGATAATTAAGCCTGCTGCCTTTTCAAGAAGTCCAAGGAGATGCTTATCATCAAGTAACAACTCATTGGCTTTCTCAGTACAAGAATAAGAAAGGCTCAGGGAAGCCCTCTGACAGTATCAGATCACAGAGCCGAGCGTGGGAGCAGAAAGGTGGAAAAGGTTTTGCTAAATTCTTTAGACCTATACGCAAAACCAGCTACTTATCAGGACCAAAGCAACCACAAACACTAAAGCTCTTCATTTTTTTTAAAAAAAAGTGTTTGGTGCTCACTATATACAGCTCCAGTGTGCCTTGAAAGTAAAGACAAACAGCCATACACACAGGCTAATTGAGAGGCTGAGACTGGAGGGCCTCAGGTTTAGGCCAGCCTAAGAAGACCCCTGATAGAGAGCAAGAAGATGAGAAGAGAGAAGGGAGCAGAGGAAGGAAGGTGAGATTCTCATTCTCTCTCTCTCTCTCTCTCTCTCTCTCTCTCTCTCTCTCTCTCTCTCTTCTCTAGCACTGGGGGTCAAGGATGGTTCTGATCAGCTTTGGGAGACTTTAAGACAGAGATGACCCTCTCCACAAGGCCAGAGGCTCCACAGGCAGCTACCATGCTGGGTGTGTAAGGGCCTGCCACCAATCTGTCATTCCTTTAACTCTGGAGAAATCCTTAGTATGTCACAGCATTCTCCACCTGATGCCTCTGGTGCTTCTCCCTGCTGAAAGTACCCCACCCTGCTCCACCTCCTCTGCTGTGCCTGTATGTACCCGAAGGCAGCACGCTCCACCAGCTTGTGTAATGGCCGCTTCCACTAACTGGATCTTTCCCTGCGTCAGTGGATGTCAAAGATCCAGTTTCCTTGAGCAACTGGATGTGGAAGGTAGCACTTTAGCACGGAGGTGAGGAAAAGTGGAGAATTCTGTCTGGTAGCCTAAGACCAGCATGGGGGCACGGCAGCTCTCATAAGAATAACAGAAAGGGGGGACACGGAGGTGGGGCAGAAAAGGGGAAGGAGAATAAAATAAAGACACTAGAAGGACACTAGAAGTCTGTCCAGGCAATAATACCTGATTCTTGCTGAGAACATTCTTTCCAGAAATCCACAGGGGAAAAAAATCCTAAATAACAATCTCAAACTCACAATGACTCAAACCAGGAGTTCCTGTTTTATGTGTTTGAACAGAGAAAAGATAAGCTAGAGAAATGACCACGCAAAGTCACATTGGGTACCAGAGTGCTGAGCCACCAGCACAGAGACAAAGCAGACGTTTCCTCTTCTAGGGACAACCCTTCCCTCCCACAGAAACTAAACCCCGGGATTCTGTAAGTTTCCACTTTCCCACATCTACCTAGGCAAGTTATTCCTGCTGGTTATCACTCCCTCCAGGGACTGGCTCAAAACTGGACACTCAAAACAAGAAACAACTCATAGTAATTAACCTGATTCCAGACAAAAATAACTGGATCAAGCCGGGCGTGGTGGCGCACGCCTGTAGTCCCAGCACTTGGGAGGCAAAGGTAGGCGGATCTCTGTGAGTTCAAGGCCAGCCTGGTCTACATAAAAAGACAAAAAGACAAAAAAAAAAAAAAAAAAAAAAAAAAAACTGGATGAAAAAAAAAAAAAAAAAAAAAAAAAAAAAAAAAAAAAAAACTGGATCAGTGTTGTCACATTCTAGGGGGCGGGGCAAGTCGGTAGTGGGCGTGAGCCTAGCCCCTGGACCTGGCCAGGACTCCCCTCTCCCCGGGCGCCCAAAGCAGGTTATTGAGCGCAAAAACGCACAATGAGACCCAGGTGCGTGACGCCACAAAGATGTAGAGGGGAGGAAGAGAGCTGCCCCCGTAGCTGTCCGCGCCCCCAACTGGCCCAGACTGGAAGAACGGGTGGTCGTGGGAGCCAAACAGGACCACAGAGGATCTATCCGAGGGAAATGACAGGAGCAGAGGAGCCCGGAGTAGCCGAGACCGCTCGGGCCGCGCGCTGAGGAGGCTGCGGAGCGACGCCGGCGAGGGCGCCCGGGACAGCGCGCAGTCCGTGCACCCCGGTTTCCCGGAGCCGCCAGGCCCGCAGATCCCGCCCGCCCGCCGGCAGGCCCGGCTCCCGCGCCCGCACCGTGTTGTAGAACTCGGCGATGGCAGGCACGATGGTGTAGTTGTCCTCGCACCAGTCCACCTCCGAGCTGCCGGCCCGCAGCTGGTCCCACCAGTGCGGGGCGCCCATGGCAGCTCCGAAGCATCGGAGCAGCTTCTCTGCAGCGCGACCGGCCCGAACGACTGCCGGTCGCCGCGGCCCGTGCGGCTTTATGCGGTGCCGGACCCCCTCCCGACGCCGCCCGTCAGGAGCCGCCCCGGCCCCACCCCCGCAGGCCCCAGCGCGGAGGCCACGCCCACTCGGGGCGGGCTCGCGCGGGGCTGGCGGAGGCCGGGAGGGTGGAGAGCCGAAGGGCCGGGGATTTGCGGTCGCCGCAGGCTCTTCTGCGCGCCGGTGGCAGAGGCCCTCACCGCTCCTGGGCCACGCGCGCCTCCAGCTTCGGAGGCTCAGACACCCCAGCTTTGTGTAGAGAGCTCCCCATCCCTGTCTGGAAAGATGTCAACTGTGAGAAACACGGGAACTAGAACCCTCGGACCCGCGGGAGGTCGCCCCATGGCCTCTCTAGCTCTGCGACGCCTAGCTCTGATGCCTATCGAAGGCCCTCGGTCCTCCTGAAGGCCGGAAGGCATTTCCTGACAGAGAGAAGCCCTCCGGGCTATAGGAACGGGCTCCCTGGCCTCGGAAGGCTGGGCCGTCCACTCTCCAGGGGAGCGTTTCTGCAGCCACACGTGCCCTTCCTCCCCTAGACTTCAGTCTTTGATTGGGAGCCTAGGCATGGGGGTAAGCCCAGCCCACAGAGGATGCAGTGGAGCAGGTAGAATGGCATCGCCAGGACCCACCCGTCGTGCAGGAGACAACACATGCATAATACGTACCGGGCATTGTTTGAACAGCGTCCATGTGTCACTCATCTAGTGTCCCTGGAGGGGATCCCGTGAAGTTGGTTCTGTTAACAACTCCATTCCAACCAATTAGTGTCAGAGGTAGAAATCAAGTTCAGGCAGGATAACCCTGGATAACTCCTAAGTGCTTTGCTTCTGTAGTTACTAAATGTAAGCCAAGATCTTGGAGAAGGCCAAGCCTCCGTAATCATTTTTTAAAATTTTATTTATTTTTTATTGTATGTGTATGCGTGTGCACGCAGGTAAGTGCACCCATGTCGTGCAGTGCATTCGGAGGACAGAAAAGCTGTCAGATTCCCTGGGACTGGAGTTATGGACAGTTGTTAGCTGCCATGTGCGTGCTGGAATTCGAACCCGGGTCTTCTGCAAGAGCAGTCAGTGTTCTTACCCGCTGAGCCATCTCTCCAGCCCCTTCCGTAATCCTTTTTGGTGGCAGTTCCCGCCTCCTTAGAAAGTTCCAAGTGAAGGCAGTGGCAGAGGGGACTGAGGGCAGCAGTCCACAGTGACCGCCATTGGGGTTTCGTTGCTTACACAGGGGGCCACCTTCTCTCCTAGCTGGAGTTCAAGAGTGCTGTGTCTTCCATAGGTACCCACACAGCCACTCATGTGTCTCCCCAGAGCTCCATCTGGGGCTGAATCTGCAGGTCTCCACCACCTCCTGTTTCCCCCATGAAATCCAGTTTTATTCCCAGGGGCCAAACCACTCCTCCTGTCTTCATAGTCCCAACTTCTCTGTGCCTTCTTTCTTCTCTACAGTCAGCTCCACTGTGTCCTGGAGCCCAGATAGACCATTCTCTAGAACCTTCTTCTATGGTTAGAATTACAGGATAACAAGAGTGAACTGGCCACAGACACAAATGAAAGCTGAATTAGTTCATTCCTTCATGTCTCATTCTGAACACCAACTGCCCAGCAATAGAATTTCTTTCTTGGGTAATCCTATTTTACTCCTTTCAGTAACCCAGAAAGAAAGTATACCCACATTTTCTGTTCTAATGATCTAAAACACACTTATTTTTTATGTACCAGTTATTCTCATAGCGTGCACCACACAGTCAAAACTTTTCCTGTTAACATTGCAACATCTACCTTTTTGCTATCTTTTAAAAATATTTTTAAAAAATTTTGAAACCGTTTCATGTAGCCCAGGCTGGCCTCCTAAGTGCCAGGATTTAAAAGCATGCATACCACATCCCTCTTCATTTACATTCTTTTGCAAAGGCCATAACATGATGTGTAATGAGATACCTAATGGAATATGTGCTTATGTATTCAGTGGCATTAAAAACCTCAGTTTAGGGGCTGCAGAGATGGCTCAGTGGTTAAGAGCACTGATTGCTCTTGCAGAGGACCTGGGTTCGATTCCCAGCACCCACATGGCAGCTATGAACCATTCTTAACTCCAGTTCCAAGGGAATCAGAAGCCCTCTTCTGACCTCTGAGGTATTGCACAACATGGGTGCACTCACATACATGCAGGCGATACACTCATACACATAACATAAAAATAAAATATTTTTTTAAAAAAACACCTCTTTAAATTTCTAGCATGTGGGCTAGAGGGATGGCTCAGTGGCTAAGAACACTTTTGCAGAAGACCTAGATTTAGTTCCCAGCACCCATACGACAGGCAACAACTATTGGTAACTCCAGTTCCAGGGGACCCAATGCCTTTTTCGGGCCTCCACCTAGATGTATGCCTGTGGTGGGTGCACTTACATACGTGCAGGCAAAAACTCATACGCATAAAATAAAAATAAATAAATATTTAAATTTCTAGCATGGTAGAAATCCAGATATATGATAGGTGCATAGATATGATGATAGGTAGATGGTCAATTCACATTAACAGAGATTAGACAGAGTCTTTTTGTCTTGTTTTGTTTTGGTTTTTGGTCTTTTTGAGACAGGGTCTCCCTGCAGCCCCCGCTGTCCTGGAACTCACTTTGTAGGCCAGGCTGGCCTTGAACTCACAGAGATCCACCTGCCTCTGCCTCCTGAGTATTGGCACTAAAAGGCATGTGCCACCATACCCAGCTTGTTTTGTTTTTGAGACAGGGTTTCCCTGTGGCCCCAGCTGGCCTGCAACTTGCTATATAGACCAGACCTGGTGGTGATCTCATAGAGATTCACCTGCCTCTGCCTCCCAAGTGCTGGGATTAAAGGTGTGCACCACAATGCCCAGCTCAATTTTTTTTTTAAGATTGATTTATCTATATGTGTTTCTGTGTGAGCGTATGCAAATATGGGAGGGGGTGCCCAAACTTGTTCACCTGTGTATATGGAGCCCAGAAGAGGACGTCAGGTGTCTTCCTTTCTACCTATTCCTTTAAGGCAGGGTCTCTCCCTGAACCTGGGTTTCTAGATTTTTTTAAACTTACTTATTTATTTATTTATTTATTTATTTGCTACTTTGGAAGCCAACAAACCCCAGCAATGATCATATCTCTGTCCCTCTTGAAGCTGGGGTTACAGGAGTGCACCAGATGCCCAGCCTCTTGTGTGACTGCTGGGATCCCAACTCCACTCCTCAAGGGTATGCAGCAAGCACTCTCACCCACTGAGCCATTGCTCCAGCCCCTAGGACCCTCAATGTTTCTTTGTTTTTTGTTTTTTGTTCGTGGGGGGAAGCAGTTGAGAGAGTCTCCCTATAGCCTCAAGAGCTCACTGTGTAGACCAGGCAGACTTTGACTCACAGAGATCTGCCTGCCTCTGCCTCCCAACTGTTGGGATTAAAGGTGTGTGTCACCATGCCTGGCTCTCAATTGTTTTAAATCTGTAAAAAGGCTAAGTGTGGTGGTACATGCCTTTAGTCCTACCATTTGTGAGGCAGGGGTAAGTGGATCTCTGAGTGGTCAAAGACAGCCTGGTCTATATAGTGAGATCTTGGGGCTTCAGGGGGGATACTCTGTCCCTAAGAACCAAAACCAGAAAAGAAAAAAAAAGACATCTGGTGTGGTGGCACTGAAATCTCAACACTCTGGAAGTTGAGGTAAGAGCATCTTAAGCCTAGCCTGGGCTACAAAGTGAGCCTTTGCTCACCCATGAAGCTGTAGTGCAAAGTTTTCAGCCTGCAGCCTGCATGTTTCCCTTTCTAGGTGGTCCTTATATGAATGGTTGAAAGAAACATAGAGGTTCTAGTTGCTAAGTCATTGTCAGGAATTACACTGAGTTTAATCATGTGCAGACGGTAACACCACCTCACAGCTACCACCTGCCTTGAGTGATCACAAACAAGCCTCACTGGCTCAGTGTAAATGCATCAACTAAGAGCAAGGGGGTTTCAGAGACACTGACAGGGCCAACTATATTGGTGTTGGCACAGCAAATGTGAAGGCTAATGGAAGAGGTTCTTCCTTCTCTTCAAGTCTTGCCAAGGGAGAAATTTTTTGTTTTGTGGTGGATTTTTGTTTGGTTTGGTGTGGGCGCACGTGTGTGTGTGTGTGTGTGTGTGTGTGTGTGTGTGTGTGTGTGTGTGTGATGTTGTTTGTCTTTGAGATTAAAGTCTCACTATGTAGCCCAGGCTGATCAGAACCTCCCAGGCAGGATTACATGCATGAGCCACCACATAGGTACAGTAGGGGCTTTTATCTTCCACAGAAACTCTGCTATTACTGTTGTTGTTTGTTGTTTGAGACAGTGTCTATCGTAGCTCAGCCTGGCCTTGAACTTGCTACATAGTTTCAGCTAGTCTTGAACTCCTAATCCTCCTGCCTCTATCTCCAAAATGCTGGAATTAGAGGCATGTTCCACCAAGCAGGCAGAGCAAGGTTTTTATCCTCCATAAGAACTCTGGTTGTCAGAAACAATTCAGGTTCAAAATCAAAGTCCTCTACTGTGGGGGAGAACAAGCCCTTAGTTCTTGTGCGGGATCTTTGGCTAGATCTAGGACTCCAATTCATACAAGGGCTGAAGAACAAGAGAAAAGCATAAACGCTTTGTTAATGTCACACGTGCCTGGGGGTCTTCACAAGAGAGAAAAGTCGGGCTGGAGAGATGGCTCAGCAATTAAGAGCACTGGCTTCTCTTGCAGAGAACCGGGTTCAGTTGTCTGTCAGCACCCACATGGTGGCTGACAACCGTCCATAACTCCAGTTCCAGGGAATCCAACACCCTTTTCTGATCTCCGTGGCATTGCATGACACAGGTGCACACACATACATACAGGCAATAAACTCACACATAGAAGAAGAAGAAGAAGAAGAAGAAGAAGAAGAAGAAGAAGAAGAAGAAGAAGAAGAGGAGGAGGAGGAGGAATTGCCTATTGACACTGCTTTATCCAAGGGAGGGGGAGAGGAACAGGAGAAAAGAACAAG